CTGAGCCTGGGCAGTGCGTCCAGCCCTTGTTGCTCCAGGACCCCCAACACCACTAACCACCCTCCCTCCCCCCTCTCTCCCCACACGCCCCTGGCTGAGCCTCCTGAAGATGTCCCCAGGTGAGACCCACTCACTGCCTGCCCTGGTCAATCAGAATCGCCCTCTCCCCCACCCTCCAGGTCCACCCAGTCCTCAGCGCCTCCAGTGAAGGCTGCCGCAGGGCTCACCCTCCTCCTCCCGCCCCAGCTCTGAGGCAGTCTCCATCTTGGCGGCAATCATGCTTTCCTCAAACTGGGCATAGCTGTCAAACACTTGTGTGAAGTCCCGCACGGTCATCACAGTGCGGATGGCCTCCTCGTACACGTCCCGGGCCTGTGGGATGGGAGCAGTGAGAGGGAAGCGCTGGCAGGGGGAGGCCCGTGAGCTCGCTGTCCCGGGCCCACGCTGGGATCCTGCAAGGCCTTTCCAGGTGCCCCAGCACCCGCAGGCTCAGAGGGGCGGCATGAAGCACTTCCCATCCTCCCTGCCCTGGGAGCTGCAGAGTCCTCAGTAAACTGGGTGACAGCCCTTGTACAAAGGGACCTCGAGGCTCAACTGAAACACCAGTGTAAAGCATTTTGTACCCAGTAAGGCCAACACCATGCCTGTCGCCATGGTCCTCCCTGAGGAACCACACCCTCACTTGTCACAGAGGGCTCCACCTTTGCTCCTGAGTACCCCTCATGCCCACCTCACCCCTTCTCCACCTCGTGTTCTCCCAACCACCAGCCCCACCCCCTCATGGCTCCATCTCTCCACTCCCGGCCCTGCCTGGTGCTGCCCACTGCCCCTGCTGGCCTTGGCAGGACACTCTTGTGGAAGGAGCAGAAGAGTCACCCCTGGCTGCAAGGCCTCACTCCCCTTTCCCACCCTGCACTGCTCCTGCTTCTGCTCCCCCACTCACTCACTGAAGCCCTGTTCCCACCCTTCCTCAGAGCACAGGAGCCCCAGCCAGCCCCTCCACTCCCGATGATGAGAACACCACGACAAGGACAACCAGGCACACAAGATCCCACATGAGGCACCTGCTTGGTGCTCTGCCTGAACCTCAGAGATAACTCCTCACAGGCAGGGGACCCAGGTAGGGGCAGCCAGGCTTGGCAAGACTAAGGGCACACAGCCAGGAGCCCGATCCTGAACCCAGATGAGCTGGCCCCAGGTGTGTTCAGCTGCAGGACTGCCCTGCCTGGCCTTTCTATCAGATGGCGTGTGTATGTGTGTATACACGTCACAAACAGTACGTCTGCATGTGTGTTCTGCCCATGCCCGATGTTCCTGAATGTCCCCCAAGTGTCAGAGGAAGACCTGCCCCACATGCAAGGCTAAGGGGCCCAAGCACCTTCTCAAAGTGGCCACTGCGGATGTAGTAGTCAGCCAGTGAACACCACAGCTTGCCTAGCTGGTCGGTGAAACGGGTGAGGCCACCACGGATGATGGCGTCCACGTTGAGGGACTGCACCTTGTCCGGATTCTGGGAGATGAGGTCACACAGCTCGTGCCACAGCTGCAGGGAACAGGGTGTGGGAGTCTTAGCCTTGGTCTTGGAGGGAGGAGCCCTCCTGCCTTGTCCCCATCTCCTCACAGGCCCACCTGGTAGTTGGACTTGCCAGCCTTGGACACAAAGCGCTCATCATTCACCACAGTGGCCAGGCGCTGTGCAGCCTCGTCCAGCCGGTCACTCGACTTGAGGTACTCGATGTATTCCTCAGCACTCTCTGGACTCAGCTGGGGACCCACCAACACCACCGGAGTCAGAGGTGCCACAGGGCCACACCTCCCTCCTGATCCATTGCCTCTGGGCTTCCTATAACCCACCTACCCACCACTGTCCTCCTGGCCAAGAGCCTGCCCTGCTGACCCAGCCCCAGCCCCAAGGTGGTCCAGCCTGGGTCACTATTCCAGCCTCAGTCCTGACTGGTCTGGTCTTAGCCCTTTTCTTCAGCCTTGATCCCATTGGTCCAACCCCAGTCCTGAATGCTGCAGTTTCGGCTCCCAGGGTCTGCTCTACACAAACCAGGACTGCTTCTGTCACAAGCCCCTATCCAAACAACATCATGCAAAGGGTTTGCCATGTAAAAAATGGTACAAGTTTGAGCAAATGATGTCCCACCCCCACTTTGTCTGTACCTCTGCCCAATAGAAGGGCCTATTACACATCCCATAGCTGTTATCTCCCATTCTTGGCCCTCCCCATGGCATAGTTTTACTATGGCTCACACAGTCAACTCCTGTGTACCCGTTTACTCAGTTAGACTGCAAGTTTCATGCAGGTGACAACCATCTATCTTATTTACTCTGTCCCCTGCATCTTCCCTATGTATAATGTGGAGAAGATGCTAGCAAGTTATTTGGAAAATGAAGAATCAGAAATTCTAGGTGCCTCCAGGAGCCCTCTCCCCATATCCATATCATGTCTGTTGGATGACATCTGCATGGGGCTAGTGTCCCAGTGAACCACCATTTGTGAACTCCAACCTGGGGAACCAGCCCCCTGGGCTCACCTTGAGGAAACGCCGATATCCTCGCACAGCTGTCTCAGGCAGTGGGTGGGAGCGCAGGAAGCGCAGGTACAGGGGCCAAATACGAGAGTGCTGGGTGATGGGTAGTGCCCGGAGGGCACGGTCGAAGGTGCGGCGGGTGTGTGTGACACGTCCCTGGTCCATCAGGAACTGACAATAATCTAGCCATAGACGGGGCATCTGGAATTGTGGGAAAAGATGGTCAGGTCAGAGCTGTGGGCTCCATGGCCTGGCCACAGATGCCAGAGGTCTTATGGCCCAGTCACATCTGGAACATAAATATGGAAGAGCTCAGAAATCCCAATCCCAGGACTGCCTCTGCACCAACATCTCATGCAGAGGCAACAGGACTTTAACCCTCCACCCCTTCCATGCTGAGCTCACCCCTCCTGCTTTGCCCACCTCTGTGGAGTCTGAGCTCCACTTTTCCCAGTTCCCCACCTTGTGCATGAACACAAAGGCCCTCTCATGGCAGTTGTTGACATCTTCATAGGCAGGGTCAGTCACGCAGCGATGCTTTACCTGTGCCCGACGTGCCTTTAGGTAGCGGTACCAGAGTTTGTAGCTGGGGAATAGGAAGGGACAGACACTAATGAATTACGAACCCACAGAAACCTTCCTCCTATCCCAGGAGGTAACTTTGGGGAGAAAGGCACTAAGGAAGGGTGACAAATCTCGGAAGAGAGGGAAGGACTGGGACATCAGGGAAGTGCAGTGGCTTATCAGGGGATGCATATCCAGTGATGGAAACACATAGCAATCACCTGGGATCTATTTGCCAGTTCCATTATGACTGGATAAGTGGGATGGGACCTGGTTGGCAGGTCAGTTAGAGGTATGCCTACCTGCAGGGCAGCAGCTTGAGTGCCCGCTCATACAGCTGATTGAGCCTGGGCTTGGGAGCTCCCTGTTTGAATTCAATGTAGCGTAGCCAGCATTTGACTGAAAACTGGTTCCGCATGATTTCCTCCTCATAGGGAAGGTCCTCTTCTTCCTGTAAAGGCCAGAGAAAGAAGAGAAGGGAGACCTACCCTCAGAGTCTGAGGGCAGCAGCAGCCCACCACTGGAGTTTATGCCCAACCTCCAGATTTAAACTCAGATCACAGATCTCACTGTCCACCATCAAATCCAAATCACCAGATGCCCAGACACCAGGATGCTGGTTCAGACCTTTGCCCATGATCTGGCCCAGTTAGTCTGACTTCTCAGTAGTAGAGATCTAAACCAGATAATGAGACCATAAAGCTTTAGCCCTCTCAAATCACACCACCTGCTTGCTGGTCCACATCACCAGGCTCCTTATACACCAGGGCCCTGGTCCAGATGCCAGGTCTCTGCCTTACCTCCTCACAACACCTCTTCCCAGACACCAAATCTTTGGACCCTCCAGCTCCCACTGCCACAACCACATTCCAAGCCAGGTGAGTAGATCTTTATCTCAGTCACTAGGGTTCTTGGTACCAGACACCAAACTGCTGAACTCCTAAGATCCCACCAGCCAATAATATAGCTCAACTCTGCCCCAAGGCTTGGAGGTTAGGCCTTTGCTCCAGAAAGAGATGTATGGACCAGACCTGAAGCCCTTAACTCTGGATGCCAAGAGTCTGATGAAAATGGTAGACCTGACTCCAGACATCAAGTCTTTGGCTATTTAGGATCTCGCTGGTCGTTGCCTCACAGGCTCCACATCACCAATTCCTTTCTTCAAACTCCAGGGTTCTTGAAGCACCCCCCACACTAGGCCTTTACCCCAGAAACCATAACACTTGGAACCAGACATAGAACGTTTTGCCGAACGCAAGCCTTTACCCACAAACCAGACCTGACCTGGTTCCTTTGCCTTCAAAGACCAGTTCTTTCAGGGTCAAGATCCAGTTATGCGACTTCCCTTCTCCCCAGTTCCCGGCGCGCCCCCATTTCCGCCCCCAGCCCGAAACTCCTGCCCCTTCGCCTCGGCAGCAGCTCCTTCTTTAGGCCACCGGGAATCCGGTTCTGACACTAGATCTTTACTTGTGGCCAGCTCGGTTGGGACTTCACCATCCGACCCCGTCAGGGATTCCCCTCACCCCGTCCTTGGATAGGCACAGTGTTGGCCTAAATCCCTCGGGCGTCCCGGCCCCGATCCCCCGCGGCATCTAGGCCCCCATGCGCTCCCGCGGGCCACCCGCGGTCCCGCCACGAACTCACAAAGACAAGGTCTGGCCGCTCGGGCCGCGAGACGCGCGCCATCACCACCATCTTCCCGGCTCTCCAGGTACAGGCGACGTCGCGCACTTAAAGACGTCTCCCACTGAAGGCCCGCCCCTCCGAGCCAGACTCGTTTCCGATTGGCTGTACCCTTCTCGGCCGTCAGGCTGGAGTTGTTGACTTCCGAGTGGACTGAGCCAACGACCGGAAGCGGGGATGAGGCGCTCGAACATTACGTCATCTTGGGGTTGATGGGCCAATCAGCTTCAGCAGCGGGACTCACGAAACACCAATGAGCGGCTGTCTAGCTGCTGCGGGGTCAGCTTTGGGCGGAAGTGGGTTTATAGACCCAGACGAGCGAGATGGGGGTGAAGCTGGAGGTGTTTCGGGTCAGTGACTCTGGAGTAGGTTAGGTAGCTGGTTGGGAGATTTCCTTGGTTTTGGGGCGAAGCTGTACAGAGTGGGGACTTCAAAGAGGGAGCCGCTCCTGGGAGAACACACCGGAGACTTGAGAGAGACCTTGACGGTTGGGAACTCAGGAGGGGGCGTTAGATTTGGGGGTCGGAGTGGAGCGTCTGGATTTGGGGAATCTAAGAGTAGGGCCTCTCGGGGGTGGGCAGGCGGCTCAGTGAAGGAAAGCTCCAGATCCTTCTGGTGGGTGGGCGGGCGCCTCCGACAGGGAGACTCCTAGACTTAGGGAAGCTAAGAAATTTGAAAGTTGGGAACTTCTGGCTTTGAGGTGTTCCCGGCATCTGATTAGGGGAGTGATGAGGTCTCAAGAAGGTGTCTTTGTAGTAAATGCTCTTGTGCTGCTGCTGGGATCTGTGTGTTCCTTGAGACAAAGACTTGGAGGGGACTCACAGGAATAAAGCCTCCTGGATTATGGGGACCAGGCTTTCTGTACCTTTAGTGGGAGTTCTGGGGTTCATAGGGGAGAGCATGAGGAGGTAGTCCTGGATTCTGCCGGAGAGTGTGTCTGTCCTCCAGGCACTGCAGTCTTCCTGGGATAATGGTCCCAGGTCCCTGTTCATGTACCTACTGCCTTTGCAGATGACACTCTACCTCACTTTCCCTGTGGCTATGTTCTGGATTTCCAATCAGGCTGAGTGGTTTGAGGACTATGTCATACAGCGCAAGGTGGGCATAGAGAGAATATTCACCTGTTCATTCAAGCTGGTGGTGAAGTGGGTGGGGCACCAGCCTACTGGGGACCAGTATGTGGTTCTTTAGTCTCCTGGCTTGTGCCTTCAGCTGTGACTTTGTCCCCACAGAGGGAGCTGTGGCCACCTGAGAAGGAGAGCCAGGTAAGTAACCTCCTTTTCATCCCATCAGAGGGAGAGAGGAGTCTGGGTCCCCACAGCCATGATGCATTTTGAATGGAAGTTTTCCCCTTAACCATGGGTAGGTAACTGAGAGCAGAAGGGCGTATGATTTCTTTTTTGCCTTCTTGAGGGATGAAGCTGAACTCACTTAGACTCCCTATAATTGGCATGGGGCATCCAGTTTAGATACTGAAATCTGAAGCCAGGGGCAGGGTGGTGGGAGAGGGTCCAGTACCTGAATGTGCCCCTTCCTTCCTTCCCATCCCATCCCTTTCCCACTCCCAGCGTCAAGAGCTAGAAGAATTCAAAGAGAGGATACGGAAGCAGCGGGAGGAGAAACTCCTTCGCGCTGCCCAGCAGAGCTCCTGAGGCCTCCAAATGCTTGAGTCCCAACCCCTCCACCCATGAAATAACACATACTCAGTTCCTTGTTGCTTGTGCTAGTGTTTTATTGTTTGCTTTCAGGGGCCCAGTGGGGCCCAGGACAGTTTGGGCCCTCAAGGTGCTTGTGTCTGGGGCTGGGGGCTGCTGTTCCTGCGGAAACCAAGAGCACTGGGGTCCTGAGGGGTGAGCAGGGGTTGAGGGCTGAGGGTCCCAGCTCGTTTCTGCGCTCCGTCCTGTGGATGAGAAGGTATCAGCCAGAGGGAGGACCAAGGGCAGCACAGGCCAGAGATGACACAAACATTGGAGAGAAGGTACTGATGGGAATCCGTGTCCTTCCTCCTCCTGTGTGACTGCCCCCTCTGTCCCCATAGAGAAATCTGTTTACTTTCATTATCTGCCATTTAGGGTGGTGTTTGGGTGTGAGGTGGCAGGTCTTAGGGCTCTTACTGGGGTCTTGATCAGAACTCAGCTGTGCGTAGGTACGTGGGAATGTGTGGATGTGCTCCTTGTGTGAGTGAGCTCCTGTGTGTCCTCTTCCCTGAGATGTCACCCCAGGAAGGTGGCCTGTTCTCTCCCTCTTTCTTTCTTAAAACCCTCAGACAGGGTAGGGGCAAGAGCCATGAGTTTCAGCCACAGCTCTGACACTAAATGGCCCTTGTGTGACCTTGAGCCCTTTTCAGGTCTGCCGTGTCTGGGGCTTGCTTGGTCTTCTTAACTGAATTCTCAGCAGAAGATGGACAGAGATGAAGGGAGGGTCCCATTCACTCCTGGCCAGGGATGAGCAAGGTTAGAGAGTACAGCCTGGTAGGTGTCATCAGCATTGATGGAACATCACCTACCTTAGGGCCAATGGGCTGGAAGCCAGGCAGGGTGCTGACTGTCACACGCTGGTCATCCATTCGGCGGCCCTGGGTGCTGGCCAGCATGTCCATGAGACTGTCGATCTCGGGTGTGGGGCCATCTTCTGCACGGAGCAGAAACACGTGGCCATGAACATATAGACAGATTCCAGAGGAGCCTGGCGCGGTCATCTCCCTGCCGCCCCCACCCGCACCCCACAGGCTGCCCCTGCACACTGTACTTCCCCCATTCCCACCAGCAGGCAGCATCCCCATGCCCAGGCTCACGGCTCTCAGAAGTCTGGCCCGGTCCAGCCTGCAGCGAACAGCGCTGCTCCTCCATCCGACCACCCTGAACGTGGCTCAGCAGGTTGAAGAAACCCTCCTGGTCTGGTGAGCCCGCCTGGGGACAGACACACTTGGTCTGACTGGGGATTCCTCCCCTTCTTTCCCAGTGAGCTGGCTCCCAACCCGTCCCTGAGCCTGCCCTCTTGGCTCCGCCAGCTCTTACCATGGTCCTTGTCGATCTGCTGCTCTGCAGAGCTACTCTGAATGAGACATGAGTCTCCTTGATGCTGGTCCCTGCCCCAGGGGCCCCAGCCAGCAGCATCACTTCACGTGGTGTCACCTCTAGGGATAGGCCTGCCTGTGACAGCGTCCTGCCTGCCGTCCTAGATTGGGTCCTGACTGGGATGGGCTGGGGTCTGGGGCACAAAGGAAGAAAATGGGGCTCTGGAGCCACCCCTAAGTCCCAGCACCTGCCACCTTCTAGGGGTCAGTACCAGGATTCTTGCCCTCTGCCTTGGGACTAGGGACCAGTTCATAAACCTTCTGCCCATCAGCACCTCCATGTGGTGACAAATGGGTCAGGGGACCCCGGAGACTCACTTGCTAATTAGGTGCCCTACAAATTAACTAGTCCTGTCAGTTTCAGGCTCTGAGAGTTGGAGGAGCTGAGGTGGGGGTGGGGCGTTCTTACCTGGCTCGAGGGGTCTGAGCCCCCCTCCTCTCCTTTCTCTCCCTGCTCCATCATTGTTCTTCCACTGGACTCCACTTTCTGCTCTTCTCTGTTCCAGCCCTGTGCCAGGAAGGCCTTTTAAACAACCAGGATGTGGGGGGAGTGGATACCCTCTCTAGTCCCAAATCCCCAGCTCATGCCCCATCTGCTCCCACCCAAGCTTAAGCCCCATAAAGATGATCCAGATAATTGTTTGTCCAGAATATTGCTGGGCCTGGCACAGGGTGGGAGGGAGGGTGGCCTGGGTGTGAACCTCACCAGACCCAGCGGCACTTACTAACCAGGCCCCAAGAGCTGTCAGGTGGAGTGTGGAAGAAGCCTAGAGCAGTTTTGGAGAAAACAGGCCAACAGGGGAGGGTAAGGCTGCAGCCAACCTGTGGGATCCAGTGGAGTCTCTGTCCACCCTGGCCAGCCCACTAGCTCCCTCTTGGTACCTGTGGCCTCATCCTGCTGGAAGGGCAGTTGCCATTGGCAGGGGGAAGCAGAAGAGGAAGCTGGAGCCCAGGAGCCCTTCCCCACCTCCCTGCAACCTCCTCAGGCACCACCACCCAGCCTAACTCCAGCTCTGCCACTTGGACAGCATTTCCAAAGGACATCCAGGCCACCCTGCCCTCTGCTCATTGTCCTTGAGACCTGGTTGCCTCCCCACTGGGCCCCAAGACAAAATCTGTGTTCCCCTGTCCACCTGCCACCCAGATGCAAGTTGAACTGCCTCTGATCCATCACCCCAGACCCATGTGGGAACAGGAGATGAAGTCCCTGCCCCCATCCCTTAACAACTTTATTTCAGTGACTAGGAGCCCTGACCCCTCAAACAAGATGTCTTTCTGGAAACCAGTTACAGTTTCTTCTCAGAATAAACTGTCTCCACTATCCTACCCCTGCCTGGGACACCCTAATCCAGGGCTCAAGTCCTCAGTGATGATGGGATGTTCAGCAGTAGGTGCACACGGTTTCCAAGGGCTGCTGGAAAGAGGTATCGCAGACTGGGTGGTTTAAAGCAACACTATTGTCTAAAGGCTCTGGAGGACGGAGGTCTGAAATCAGTGTTAGCAGGGCCGTGCTTCCTCTGCAACCCGGTTTCAGGGTCTTTCTTAGCTGCACTTCTGCTAGCTGCGGGCTGCCTTTGCTGTGCCTTGGCTTGTAAGTACTGCACTCCAGCCGGCCTGTGTGGGCACAGGGTATTCTCTCTGTGTGCCTTCATAGGACAGTCTTATATGGACACCAGTCATATTGGAATAGGGGCTCACCTCCTCTGTGTGACCTCATATTAACTAACTAATCTGTGATGACATTACTTCCAAATAAGGTCACATTCTGAGGCATTGGGGATTAGAATTTCAACATCTTTGATGGTGGTAGGGGTGCCGATGGTAGGGACACAATTCAACCCATTACACTGGAGGACCCTGGTTACCCCATCAAGTACAGTGGGAGGAGCTTCTGGCTCCTCCTTTTGTACCTGCTGCCTATTCTGTCTCCAAGGTCTGGAGGAGATATCTCATCTTCTCTGCTCTTAACCCTCCCTTGGCCTCCATTGTTGTCAAAAGCAAACCCAAATACCCTGGAGGTAAGGGAATGGTCAAAATGGATTTGGGTGGAGGAACAGCCCTGAAGGTGCTGAAAGCCACTGATCCAGGCAGCTCCTTGGGGTTGCAAGTTTGAGCCCAACCTGAGCAACTTAGCAGGACACCATCTCAAAATAAAAAGGACTGGATACATAGCTCAGTGTTAGAATGCCCCCGAGTAGTTCAATCCCCAGACACGGAGGTGGGGGGTGGGGGGCACTGATGTACACTTCAGGTGGAGGGAACGTGTAGCTTATGAACCACTTATTGAGATCAAACTGTTAAAGAGACAGAGGGAAGGCTGGGGGTAAAGCTCAGTGGTAGAGCATTAGCCTAGCCTGCTCGTGGTTCCATCCCCAGCACTACAGGGGGGTAAAAAGGAAAAGAAGAGCCTAAACTCCCACCTAGGCTGGCCACCACCCTGGTTTGCCTGTGAGTGTAGCATTTTTATCACTGCAAGTCCTGTGCCCTGGCAAACTTCTCAATCTGGGCAAACCAGAATGGGTTATTCTGACATTGTCCTAAAGAAAACAGGCTCCTGTCACATTCCAGACTGTCACCTCCAGCTGCACATGTCAACCCCCTCCCCTTTCCTCCACAGGAATGGCTGTTCCCAGATGTCATTCAGAGGTTAGTCCCTCAGAGAGGCCCCCTGGCACCTCCCCCAGCTCGTGTACTTGCTATAACTAGTCTATTTCCTTCAAGGAAGGATTGCTTCTTTTACTCCTTTAGCTTATGAGAGAAAACACACGACCTTTGACCTTCTGAGTTTGGCTTATTTCACTTAACATAATGGTCTCAAGTTTCACCTGTTTTCCTGCAAATGCCGTAATTTAATTTTTTAATGGCAGAATAAAATTCCATTGTGTGTATATGTATGTATGTGTGTGTGTGTGTGTGTGTGTGTGTATATATATATATATATATATATATATATATATATATATATCCCTTTTTCCTTATCCATTCATCAATTGAAGGACCCTTAGGCTGGCTCCATGGTTTTGCTACTGTGAATTGTTCTGCTATAAACATGGGCATACATATATCACTATAGTATACTGATTTTTTTGACACTTGATCACTGAGCCACACCCCCAGCCCTTTTTATATTTTTCTTGAGACAAGATCTCACCAAGTTTCTCAGGAACTTGCTAAGTTGCTGAGGCTGGCTTTGAACTCACGATCCTCCTGCCTCAGCTGGGATTACAGGTGGGCACTGCTGTGCCCAGCCCTGACTTAAATTCTTTAATATAAATACTGAGGAGTGGTATAGCTGGGTCATATGGTGGTTCCATGCTTAATATTTTGAGGAACCTCCATAGTGATTTCCATACTGTTCATGCTAATTTACAATCCCACCAACTATGTAAAAATGCTCCTTTTTCTCCACATCCTCTCCAGCATTTATTAGTTTGTATTCTTTTTTTTAATTGGTTGCTCAAAACATTACAATGATCTTGACATATCATATATCATACATTTGATTCAAATGGGGTATGAATTCTTATTTTTCCCATGTGTAGGTTGTATTCTTGATGACTGCCATTCTGACTGGAAAAAGGGCAAATATCAAATCTCACTGTAGTTTGATTTACATATCCCTAATTGCTAATGATGTCAAACATTTTAAAAATTATTTGTTGGCCATTCATATTTATTCTGTGTCTGCTTTATTTATTTGCTCATTTATTAATTTGGGTTACTTGGGTTTTTTGTTTTGTTTTTTTGGTGTTGAGTTTGAGTTCTTTGTACATTCTAGATATTAATCCTCTGTTAGAAGAGTAGCTAGCAAAGATTTTTCTCCCAGCACTTTTCACACTCTTTTCACACTCTTGTTTCCTTTGCTGTGCAGAAGCTTTTTAATTTGATGCCATCCTAATTTTTAACTCTGGGCACTATTTTCTGAGCTTTAGGGGTCCTATGGAGAAATTCTTTGCCCCCCAAGCAACTTTAAGTGCTCCATGGGTGGGCAGGCCTTCTGGTCTTATTCACTCTTTTGTCCCATGTAAGTGGCAGGGGACTCCACACCTAGGAAACTAGCCCCACCCCTAGTACTGGGGATTGAACCCAGTGATAATATCCTATGGAGCTACATCTCTAGACCTTTTGATTTTTTGAGATAGGGTCTCTAAATTGTCTAGGCTGGCCTCAATCTTGTAATCCTCTTGCCTCAGCCTCCTGAGTAGTTGGGATTACAGTTATAGGCCACTGTACTGGGTTTGGAACATTCTTAACATGGCTGAATGAAGAAACCAGTTCAGATGAGCAGGACTCCCTATTCATACGTTAGATCTGTAACCTCATCTGTATGGGTGATGCAGGGACTGTGCCCTCAGAAGCAACAGGAATTGGCACTCAAATTATGAGTTGAGTGTAACTGTGTGTGCATGTAACTCAGCATGTCACTCACCCCATGTGTATTTGCTTGTGAATATGAGATTGTCAGCCTATGAGGGTAAGTGTCATGTCTAGTGACACGCATTCCTTCAGGTACAGGCTCCTGGGTCAAATTCCAGTAGGTTCACTCATATGGTGTTGGGGGTCCTGCAGATCCTGTTTCCTCCACTGCACCAGGCTCCCTGTTGTAATGTCAAGCAGGACTGAGAGAAAATTGGATAGCTCAAGTGCATGGCACACAGTGGGTGCCCAGGCTTCCTCGCTGCTGCTGGTGCTGCTGCTAATACAGAAGCTGCTGGAATACAGAAGACAGGTGGGTCCTGGTTCCAGGCCAGGAGGAGGTTTGGGAGCCCCCGTCCTCGCGTGGACACTCTTATCACGCAGACAGGAACTTCTGGACAGGGTGCTGATTGCGACTGTGTAAGGCAAAGGGGTTATTGTCCTGCGGTCCTTCTTGCTCACCGCACACAGCCAGGGAAAGTGGCCGAACTCTCGACCGTGAGCGCATGGGTCGGGGTGTGTCCCTCCGGAGACTGTGTGGACACACCTGCCCGCCTAATCCGCGCTGGGGTTCCTTGGTCTCTCCGAGAGCCTTCAGCGAGGCGGGGCCAGGTGCGCAGGGGCGGGGAAGGGGGCGTGGCCCACGTGGGTGACGCGCAGAACCACGCCCCCACCTTGGGACAGACCCGGAAGCGGCGGCGTTGCTCGAGGGGGAAGATGGCGCCCTCGGGGCTGAAGGCGGTGGTGGGGGAAAGTGAGTGCCTTCGCGGGGCCTGGCTCCGTATCCCCTGCGGGGCGGACGCCGGGGCGCACGGTCTCTGGGAGCCCAGGACCCCGGCGGGGAGTTGGGGGCTGAACTGGGTGGTGCCCGAGCGCCTGACCCTCGAGGGGGCGGGCGGGGACTTGGTCCCAGCGGACGCCCAGTTCCTCAGGTGCTGCAGCAGAACAGAGCTGGGCCCCGGGGACCCAGAGGAGCCGGTAATGGGTGGCGGAGGCTGGAGACATGACCCCTGGGCCCCCTAAACTGCCTGCAGGAGGAGGGCATAGCTGGACCTCTCCAGACTCGGTGTCTGAGCCGGGCAAAGTTCTGGGGCTGGACTCTAGTGGCCCCACCATGCGCTGGTCAGAGACTCCAGGTGGTTTGAGTGCTCAGGGGGCGTGTTCAGGCCCCACGGGGTGATGTGGGGGGCGCCTTCCTCCTTGCCCTATCCTCGGGAGCCCCTTGCAGCGACAGGACCCAGGCGTCCGGGCCTCGCGGGCGCAGGTCCTCTACCCCTCCCCCACCTCTGATAGTTCCGGCCTCAGCTGCTCCTTCCGCCCTGGCGGGCCAGATAACAGTGGACACGACACTCTGGCCGGTCCAAGCGAGGCCACCCTGTTCCTTTTCTCCATTCCTTCCTCTGGGCAGGGCAGACTGGCTCAGACCTCCAGCACTTCAGCCCAAAAGGGAGGCCCTTATACAGTGGGTGATGGGGAGAGGGGATACAGACGAGGAAACTGAGGACTCGTGGTTGATGGGATGAGCACAGCTAGGCACACATCAGAGCTGGGAACTTGGGGTCTTGCAGTCTAGTCTTAAGTGGATCTAATGGAGGTGGGGTGGGGGCCTGATTGGTAGCCCCACAGAAGGAAAACTGGAGGTGGGAAGGCAGACCCTTCCTCTCCATTCTTTCATGGATATATGGAATGGCAACTTGTACTCCAAGCCCTGTGCTGCTTAGGAATAGAGGGTACTTAGGTAAGTTGCCTGTCCTCTCAGAACCTGTTTTCCTGTCTGTAAATTGGGAGGGGGCTGATGCCAGGAGCTGCCTCTCCAGATCAGGGGGCAGGGGTGAATGGGAGTTAAGATGAGGGTCTAGCATCCTGAGCCCTCCCCACTCTTGCCTGCAGAAATTCTGAGTGGAGTCATTCGAAGCGTCAAAAAGGATGGGGAGTGGAAGGTAGGGGTAACCAGAGTTGGCCCCTTGCCCCAGTCTACATGGGGGGTCCCTCTGTACCCACAAGAAATTTTTGAGGAGGCTGTTGATCCAGGGGGTGGGAGCTGGGTGTATGGGTCTTGGGTCCTCCGTCCCAGCCAACCCTTGAAACTGTTGATCTCTCCACTTCCCCATGCCCCTTCTGGGGTCAGCCGTAGCTCCTTCTGCCTCTTGTCTGCCCATTGGTCCATCTGTCTGTCCATTCACCTGGACAGGTGCTCATCATGGACCATCCAAGCATGCGTATCCTGTCGTCCTGCTGTAAAATGTCAGACATCCTGGCTGAGGGCATCACCAGTGAGTGGACCCCCACCTCATGCTCTGGGTAGAACCTGAGTATGGGATCCCCTGAATATGGGGCCCTTGGATATAACTCTTAAATGTGAGATCCCTAAAATTATCCCAAGCTTCCAAGTATCCCTGTCCCTGCATAGACCACCTAGAGCATGTGACCAAGTACATCTCTCAGGTATGCAAGCTGAGGGTCCCACAAAGGACCCTGTCTGCAATCCTTACTAGGGACTGCTGAGGGCTCAGCCTCCTTGACTGCAGCCCCATGTAGAGCTCCCAGGGAGACTCGAGCCTGGCCCCTTGTGAATGCATAGCCTTCTGTGGGTGACCTGCAGGGTATGGCTGTGTGGGCCTAAAGATACAAAACCATGTAGCTCCTGCGTGTCTGTCTCCTGCTTAGAACTTCAGGTGATGCAGCTCCCCTAAGCATCCAATCCCCCAAGCCTGAGACTCTCCATGTGCCCCTGGCCTATGCCACCCACGAGTACCCCTTCTTCTGTTGCTATTAGTTGTTGAAGACATCAACAAACGGCGCGAACCCATCCCCAGTCTGGAAGCCATTTATTTGCTGAGCCCCACGGAGAAGGTGCCTCTATGAGTGAGCATGCTCATGGGTGCATGCATGTGTATGGCCTCTGGGCATGCTTGTGTCTGGTGGAGGATGGGCAGTGGCTGGGGGACCCAGGCAAAGGATGGGTCTGGGGTGCAGGGTCAGGCCCAGAGAGTGATCTGCATTCCCTAGTCGGTTCAGGCACTGATCGCAGACTTCCGGGGAACCCCGACCTTCACCTACAAAGCAGCACACATCTTCTTCACTGATAGTGAGTGAGGAGAGTGGGGGATGTGGAAGGGTAGTGGGTGAGAGTGTGGGGTGGCTCTGGTCTGATGGCCCCTCTGCCCAACCCAGCCTGCCCCGAGCCCCTGTTCAGTGAGCTGGGCCGCTCTCGCCTGGCAAAGGTGGTGAAGACGCTGAAAGAAATCCACCTTGCCTTCCTCCCCTACGAGGCCCAGGTACAGCCCAGGTGGAGGTGGGGTGTCTGTGACCAAATACAAAATATGTATAGAGAGTCAGAGAGGGAAGGAGCCAACCCAGGAGCTTTGTGAACCCTGCAGATCTCGGCAACTGGTGTTCCATCCCTCTGGGTTGCTCCAGGGGGCAGGCAGCATGGAGTCTTTCCAAGGGGGAGGACTGGGGGACTTACCTGTGGACTCTTACAGACATTGATTGGTGGCTGCCCCCAGACTGCCTTGAGACTAGCAGAGCAGACTCCGGAGACCAGGGAAGGCCCAGGCAGATAGATGCAGGTAGCAGCAGCTTCAAGTTAGGCAGGTTTGACCTACAGTGGTGGCCCTGGCACTTGTGTCCCCCAGGTGTTCTCCCTGGATGTCCCTCACAGCACTTACAACCTCTACTGCCCCTTCCGGGCAGGGGAGCGAGCGCGGCAGCTTGAGGCACTGGCCCAGCAAATTGCTACACTGTGTGCCACTCTGCAGGAGTACCCAGCCATCCGCTACCGCAAGTGGGGACCCAGCCCGCAGGCCCCATGCTGCCCTCTGACCTTGACCCCATCCTGCATCCAGTTTTTAGTCTCTCTTCGGACCCCAGTCCTGGTCCTCACTCTGACCCCTAACTCCCATCCTCAACCCCAACTTTAACCTCCTGACTGTGACCGGCCCTTCCAGACCCCATATTCTAATGTCCTTGTGTCTGACCATCCCACTTCTAGGGGTCCAGAGGACACAGCCCAGTTGGCCCATGCAGTCCTGGCCAAGCTGAATGCCTTCAAGGCGGACACTCCCAGTCTGGGCGAGGTGAGGGGGTGTTGGGGAAATGGGTCAAGGCCCTGCAGGGTCAGGGTCAGGGTCAGCATTAGCATCCTTATCCCTGCCTCTAACTCTCCTGAGCCACCCAGGGCCCTGAGAAGACCCGCTCACAGCTGCTGATTGTGGACCGGGCAGCAGACCCTGTGTCCCCACTGCTGCATGAGCTAACGTTCCAGGCCATGGCTTATGACCTGTTGGACATTGAACAGGACACATACAGGTGGGTGGACCTTGGAGCCTGCTGACCCCAGTTGCCCCCAACCTGGGACCCTTGTGCTTACTGAGTGCCCTGACCCTCATGTCCCCCTTCCTGCCCTTGCAGGTATGAGACCACCGGGCTGAGTGAGGCTCGGGAGAAGGCCGTGCTGCTGGATGAGGACGACGACCTGTGGGTGGAGCTTCGACACATGCACATTGCTGATGTGTCCAAGTGAGTGCTCGCAGTGGGTGCTGGAGGTGTGGGCCCCCCTGGATGCCCCTAACTCCTTCCTCCTATGGGTCCGCTATGTGGCTATGGGATCCCTGCTGCCCCCAGGCTTTGGGTCTAGGCTTTGGACTGACCCTCCATAAGCCACACCCTTCAGTGGGACTCTTGACCGTCCTCCAGCCTCATCCTACCCCCTGGACCCCCAGGGACATGTCCCTGCCTGTCATTTCCATCTGCGAAACTGCACTAACCTCACACTGAAGTCCCAGCACCAGCCCCCATCTCACCCTGCCCTCCCTCTTGGCTAGGAGGGTCACGGAGCTTTTGAAGACATTCTGTGAGAGCAAGAGGATGACCACTGACAAGGTAGCCCCCACCCCAACCTTGGCTGGGAGTGGAGGAAAGCCCCTCTCACTTGGGTGAGGGCGGGGCCTCATCCAAGATGCTGAGCCTGGAGTGGGATCCCGGTGGGCAGGGTTTGGCTTCAAGCCCACCCCCTGCGGTCTCCCACACTCCCTCAGGCCAACATCAAAGACCTGTCCCACATTCTGAAAAAGATGCCGCAGTACCAGAAGGAGCTGAACAAGGTGATAGAGCCCGGGTGGGTGGAACCTCCATCCCCGAGCTGCTGAGGCCCTCAGCCCCAGGCTCTGCCGTGACACCACATTTGTGACCCCAACTCCCACACCCCACTCTGCAGTATTCTACGCACCTGCATCTAGCCGACGACTGCATGAAGCGCTTCAAGGGCTCTGTGGAGAAGCTGTGCAGTGTGGAGCAGGTGTGGTGGGGCCAGCCCAAAGGGCCATCCCCTGAGAGGGATGGGGTTTGGGAGAGGGCGGAGCCTGTTGGGGGGTCCTGGTGAGCAGGTGGGCAAGTGGAGTGGGAACCTCAGGGGTGGGACCTGGTTGGGGGGTGTGGTCTTGGAGAGGTGAGACTGGAGTGAGGGGTGGAGTGAGGGGTGGAGCTTGTGGGGAGGTGGTCCTGGGGCTGGGTTGAGGCCTGGGCCTATTTGGGAGGGGCAGCCTTGGAGAAGTGGGGCCTCAGGAGACCTGTTGAAAGATGGGGTTGCCTGCAGGACCTGGCCATGGGCTCTGACGCAGAGGGCGAGAAGATCAAGGATGCCATGAAATTGATCGTCCCCGTGCTGCTGGATGCAGCGGTGCCACCTTATGACAAGATCCGGGTCCTGTTACTCTACATCCTCCTACGGAATGGTGGGTGGGTCTGGGGGTTCTTGAGACTTCCCTTTCACCGGTGTCTCTAGCAATCCCGGGAAACTTCCAGCCCTACAGCTTCCCAACACCAGGCATGCTGAATCCATCACATCCCTTTTCTGGGCCCTGTGACCCTTTTCCAACTATGTGATCCTCCACAGAGCCCTTCCCCCCTCCCATTAAACATGGAATTTATCCAAAATAAGCGTTTCTTTAAACTTGGTATCCCCTCTACTAATTCTGGAGGACCCCATTCTCCCTCAGGGATGCGGATCCATAGTCTCCCTGGCGTGAGAGTTTCCCTTTACACTAACTCCAGGGGATGCCTGGATCCTGAGGACCTCCCAACAGTGGGACATGCTCATCGAAGTCCTGGGGATACCTCTTAGCCCAGGACCCTGTGTAGCCACTTTCTGGCCCCCTTCTCCTTCCCCAGGTGTGAGCGAGGAGAACCTGGCCAAGCTGATCCAGCATGCCAACGTGCAGGCCTACAGCAGCCTTGTCCGGAACCTGGAGCAGCTGGGGGGCACCGTCACCAATCCTGGGGTATGCCAGGAGCAGGGTCAGAGGCTGGGTGGAAGGAGGCTGAGGGCTTGTGGGGGCAGCCAGGGAGAGGGCCTAGGTCAGAGCCTGGTCCTGTGGTGTGGCTGCACAGGCATGCGTGGCCCATGGGGACAGAGTGCCAGGGCCCATCCTAGGGCACACAGTTGGTAGCAGGGTGAGGTGTGCTCACTGCCACACTGGTCCTGGTGACAGTGCAATGTGGGGTATGTGCTCTGAGGGCTAGGGGTATGGTAGGGTCACCGGTGTTTGGGCAGCAAGGCACCCAGAAGACTTGGGGCTCCCTGAGGTCACAGTGGACACTCCACCCATGCAGCACACTCGGCAGCTTCCTGCACTCAGCTCTCGGTTTAGTCTCTCCTGTCTCTCTCTGGCCCTGCGTGTCCCACCTCCCCTGATCCTGCCTCCTCTGCGGGCCCTGTGTGCCCTTGTCCCCATCTCTCTCGCTGGCCTGTCTTCCATCTTTCTTTCTCTTTGCTCTTGTCTCTCTCCTTCCACCCCCGTTCCTTCCCTACCCACTTCTGTCCTTATCTCTCTCTGTCTCCCTGAATCTCTCTCTCTCTCTCTCCCCCGTTCCACCTCTTCATCTTTGCCTGCCTACCCCGCTAGCCAGATGAGGCCCCAGTCCCATCTGTGACCCACCTCCTTCCCCCTAACCCCCTACTGGCCCCACCTGGCCCTGCCCGCAGGGCTCAGGGACTTCAATCCGGTTGGAGCGGAGGGAACGCTCGGAGCCCACCTATCAGCTGTCCCGCTGGACTCCGATCATCAAGGACGTGATGGAGGTACTTGGGTGGGGGCTCAGGGCCCGTTCCCCCTGATCCTGTCAGCCTCCCTCCTCCTCCTCGTGCTAAGCCTCGGGGCTTAATGGAAAATCCCTCATTACTGGATTCTCCTGACACCCAGTCTGCTCTGGTCACCCCAAACACACACCCCAGGAATTAGGGCAGCAGAGAGCCCTTTAGCTGGGGAGTCTCTTCCTCTCCACCCACTGGCCCCTCCTCTGCATCCCCCTCTGTTATCTTCTTCCGACCCCTAGATGCCCTCCCTCACTAGCCCCTGGCCATCCTGAGGCCTGAAAGCGCAACATCAAATAGCCACAGGCCAGGGGCGTGGCTTCCATCTCCTTGGGGAGTTCTGGTACCCCTTTTTGCTTGACAGCCCGGCCACCTGGCCTCCCCACCCATGTAGCTTGGAAGTCTGAATTCCTAGGTCCCAAGGGGCTGAGGATGTTGATTTGTGGGTCCCCAAGGGGCAGGAGGCGCAGATAGTGGCTCCACTTTGCCAGGATCTTGACCTCTGTGAGGACTCCAGTCCTTGGTCCCCATTGTCTGGGGCTCATCTCCTAAACCTCCCTCTCTGGCCCCCCAGGATGTGGTGGAGGACCGCCTGGACCGGAAGCTGTGGCCCTTCGTGTCTGACCCTGCTCCCTCATCCAGCTCCCAGGCTGCTGTCAGGTGAGGCCCTGGGGATGCCCTTCACTGTCATCCCGGCCCACATCTGGGGGTGGGGTGTATACGGCCTAGACTGACCTCTTCCCCCGCACAGTGCCCGCTTTGGCCACTGGCACAAGAACAAGGTGGGCACCGAGGCTCGGCCTGGACCTAGGCTCATTGTGTACATCGTGGGTGGTGTGGCCATGTCAGAGATGAGAGCCGCCTATGAAGTGACCAGGGCCACTGAGGGCAAGTGGGAGGTACTTATTGGTGAGTAGCCAGGACTGCGGTTCTCAGGGGGCTAGAGTTGGACTTGGGGGTCCCTGAGGGACTGGAGCTTAGGCCACTAGGTGTCTAGGGATGGACTCTGGGGTCCCTGGGGTGCTGAAATTAGTCTCAGGTCCCTGGAGGTCTGGTGTTGGTCCCTAGAGATTTGGGATTGGATTTTGGGAGCCCTGGGGGGCTGGATCCTAGACGCCAGGGTTTCTGAGGGGCTGGGACTTAGGTTGTCAGGGAAGGGGTCACCTGGGGCCTGCACTCCCACATTCCTAATTCTCTAGACTCCTGAATTTTAGAAAGTCAGGCTCTTGGTTTGCTGAGGGGCAGGGACAGGCCTCCAACCACCCAGGACCCAGAGGCCAAGGAAGCACCCTGTTCCTCCCCAATCTCCCCTGCTCACCAGGCTCGTCACACATTCTCACCCCAACCCGATTCCTGGATGACCTCAAGACACTGGACCAGAAGCTGGAGGACATTTCCCTGCCCTGACCTTATGCCCCACCTCTGATTCCTCCCTTTACAGAGAAATAAATCTGCCCTCTCTCCACCAGCGAGCACCCACCTTGCTTTCTTCCCAGGGAAGACCCTGGGAGCTGAGCTGGATCAGGCCTGTGCTGCAGGCCTGACACACGCTGCCAGAACCTTCCCCTGGCCCCGAGGGCATCCTCAGCCCTTGGGGAGGTTAAGAACCCTGCTCAGGTTTGACAGTGGGTGGCCCTGAGGCTTACCAGCTGTGAGGCCCTGGCTACCTTGCTGGGTCCCCCGTGCAGAAATGAGGCCATTAATAGCAACTGCTTTGCAGAGAAGATGACAGTGTGGGAAAACTGACGGCACAGGACGCTGGCAGCCTCTCCACTCACTGGAGTCCTTTTGGCCGTTGTGACAGGGCCGTTGCTGTTACATTAACAAGCACAAAGGGCTGGTGGTGTTCTCCCCTCCTCCTCCCCCAGGACTGTCCCAAGGGGGCCTGCAGCCACATGCAGCTGAGGTTGTGTCTGGCTCTGGGAATGAGAGTCAGCCTTTGGTCAGGCACACCTGACCTCACCCTGCTCGTTCTCCCAGGTGTTCTCGGGCTCCTGACTGCGAGACGGATCAGAGCCTTTACTGGAGCGTTTGTTTACGAGGGTTGCCACAGACTGGCTGGCTTCACAAAAATTCATTGTCCTGTACTTCTGGAGGCTGCAAGTCTGCACCAAGGTGCCAGCCAGGTCGATTTCTTCCGAGGCCTCTTGGCGTGTAGACAGCGTCTTCTCCCTGTGTCCTCACACGGCTGTCCCTCAGTGTGTTAGCGTCCCAATTTTCTCTCGTAGGGACACCAGTCATCTTGGATTAGGGCCCACCTTATGACCTCATTTTCACTTAATTATCTCTTGAGAGACCTCATCTCCAGGTCATTCTGAGATCCTGGGGGTCAGGGCCTCAGCATGTGAATACCAGGGAGTCACAAGTAGCCTCCAGCACTTGGCTGAATGGAGTGTGAATAAGAGCGGTGAGGACAGACTCAGCCCGGCAGGCCACCAGAGGCCACGGCAGGGGGCTGTGGGAGGCAGAGGGCACCCAGGCAGGGGTGGTTAGGGAAGACTTTCCCTGCGAAGAGTGAAAATCCAGAGGGGCTGAGGAGGCTCAGTGGGGACAAAGGCTAGAAGGTGGAAGAGCAGCCGGCTGAGCTGGAGGGAGGGTGTTGACCAGCGACAAGATCTGAGAGCGCTAGGGCCACGCGGCCCGGTGAGGATTTGGGTCCCTGCTGGAGTGACGGGAACCACACGGTGTAACTGTGGCCCCGTGCCCTCTAGAAAGAGGTCCCTGAGGAGGGCACGGGGAGGGGCGGGGAGGCTGGGAACGGCGCCCCCTGGTGGGGAGCTGGTGGTTCCCTCTCGGTCACCTCCCGGGTTGTGGCCCATCCCAAGGCTGGACCAGGAGTGGAGACAGGGCACAGGGGACCCTCCTGATTTTGAGTCACAGATTTGTTTGCGAGTTTAGGGAAATTTAAGGACACTTCCCCCCAAATTGCACACATCTTTGTGCAGGTGGAGCCTGAGACAAACTGCGACTCAGCAGTTCTAGTAGATTTCTGGGTCTCCCACCCAGGGCAGAAGTTGGACACGCTGATGTGGAGCAGATGGGGTGCGGGCAAGAAAGAAGATTTGACGCCAGCCCCTGAGACGGCGTCCTGAATACCCTAGGGCAGGGACCCGTTTTAACTGGCGGAAGACGGAGGGAGTGGGAAGGACACGGTTTTATGATTTAAACTCAGGGTCCTGGGAAGCCGCGGCTTGGCTCGGGGTCCCGCCTGTGTGGTTAAGCGCAGAGAGCGCCAGGGGGCGCTGCGACCCGGCTTTCCGGCTTCTTTTGCTCCTCGGTCTGTGTCACTGAGCTGGGCGACCCTAATTAGAGATGACAGGAAGTGGGTCGAGGGTTCTTCTGTGTTTCTCAGCGAAGACAAAACCCTGTTGTGTAAACCACCTCCGTTTCTGCTCCTTATACTTAGATGACATAATGTTTCCGCACTAAAGACAAATATTGTAAATATTCACAGGTCCCTGGGGACAACAGCCTCTGGCATTATTAGTCCTAGAAGGGCATCTCACCAAGCCCTCTACGCACATTCGGCAGCTCCTCAAAACCTCGTATTTGGGAATAAACCCCAACCTCCTCTCTCTGCATCCAGTGATATTGACCTTCGCAACTCATTGTCCACCTCTTAGGCTGATGTCCCGCTAACAGGCCACACTGTTCCTGCCCAGGGCCCTTGCACCTGCTGCTCCTGGCCTGCAACTCCCTCTTCCTCCTTTTCCATCTCTGCTCAGTTGTCACTACCTCAGAGAGCCTCACAGTATTGATTGCTGCTTGGCACATTTTCTTTTTTGTTTTCTTCCTGGCCCGTGGACTGTCTGACATTCTAGATTGGTTGGTTGCTCCCTCATGGCCTAGTGTTAACTTTTTCTCTAAAATACACTCCCCTTTGCCCTCCTATTTCTCCTGTCAACAGGTGCTTGGGACAACAGCCTTGGTTACAACCAGATTCAGCTGTAGCCAGAATAATACATGAGGCTGGATACTTCCTTCCTCACGTGAGGGGCTCTGTAATGCCACCTAGCTAAGACTGGTCACCAGGCTCGGGGGCTGTCCCTTGTCTCAGTAACTCTCCACCTGAAGATGTTAGCAGCCACCAAGTCTAGGTCCATTATCCCTTGAGGATTATTTCCAACTGCATCCTTCCTGCCGCTGGAATTAGCCGGAGGGACAGAATTTTCTCTTTTAGCAACTAGTTGGTTTGTCCACAGTAACATCCTGATACATTTTCTTCAGTGTTATTTCTGGGGTTCCTCAAGGTCACTGGACACATGAGCTCAGCAGGGAGGAATGGAGTGGGGACAAGTCTGAAGGTCATTTGCAGTTACATTGTAAATACCTAGTAATCCCCCGCCTACCCCAGGCTGCGGCTGCCATGGTAACAGTGATGGGGCTTCCTGGGCAAGAACACTGGTGGGTTGGTTTATTTATGTACATCACAGGGGCAAGAGCTTCTCCTGTGTTGCACGGAGACTCTAGAATGATGGGTGGAATAGCAAGAGGGAAAGGTGGGTGGGCTTGAACTTTCTCAACTAAAAAAAAAAAGTCAAGTGCTGCAGTGTGGCTCGGGGCAGAGGGCTTGCCTAGCCTGGTGTGTCACCCCGGCACCTCAGGGTCCAGGGCAACCTGCAGTTTCCAGCTCAACAGGAGAGGGGGCGCTGGGACGAGGAGCCCAGGACCCCTGGCAGGACAAATAGGGTGGGGTGGAGAGCCCAGGGAGGGGCTGGGTGCCCGCAGGCAGGAAGGGGAAGTTAGCCCAGGAAAGCTGCGGAAATGACAAGAGTGGAGAGAAGACACCGCGTGCCCTGGGGGACTCCAGACAGTGAGGAAGCCAGGGAGCTTCCCTTTTTACAAATTTTTTAGGGGTAAAGTTGCTCAAAATCTTAAAACACATATTAACCAACAGTTTCACCCAAGGACATTGTGAAAAAGGGTCAGGTGGGGAAATGTCCCTGCGAGCAGAAGGGTTTTACTCCTGTGGAACCAGAAATGAGACTTCCCGGGGCCTTGGGAGTGGGCAGAAAGGACAGGGAAATTTCAGTCACAGGCCCCTCCACCTTGGCTCCCACCATAGTTCTCTTCTGAGACCCCTCAGAATCTCAGTGGTTGAGCTGGGCACCGTGGACACACCCGCAATCCCAGCAGCTCGGGAGGCTAAGGCAGGAGGATCACGAGTTCAAAGCCAGCCTCAGCAATTCAGTGAGGCTCCGTCTCTAAATAGAATATAAAAAAAGGCTGGGGTGTGGCTCAGTGGTTAAGCACCTCTGGGTTCCATTCCCAGTACCCGCCCCCCCCCAAAAAAAAAAAAGAATCTCAGTGGTTGGGGAAAGTTCTAGAAAACTCATGAAAGGCAAAGTTTATGAAGCCCTTACTCTGTGCCAGGCCTCATCCCAGGTGCATGTAAAACACTCTGTCCTCACCATGGCCCTGTGAGGTCATGCCACTAAGGCTCCTGTTACAGGTGGGGAAACTGAGGCCCTGTGATGCTTAGCTGTGTACTTAAGACCACAGGGAGCTGGGACTTGACCTGGGGAAGGGGCTTCAGCATCCCTTATGCATAACCACCCAGCATCCATGAACCCCCTGCACACTTCCCTGTGGTTGTCTGGGTGCCCTGAGCAGGGCTGGGGGAGAACCAGGAGGGAGGGGGCCGGAAGGAGGCAGGTCGTCCTGGGTGGTGGGGCGGGCATGGTGTGGTGGGAGAAAGCTTTGCTTAAAAGTAAGGACTGTGGCACTGACAAATTGCCATCTGAAATCCAGCTGTCTGGGGGGCCTTTCCCACGCGGCTCCCCTGCAGTTAGCTGTTGTCTGTGCACAGCTGCCCAGGGCTCCTGCGGCCGTGCGGGAGGGGATGCGTGTTCACTCCTGGATGCTGAAGAGCTGGGTAAGTGGGGGCCCAACTTTATACCAGGAAACCAGGCCAGATGCGTCCTGCCCACCACCTTCCCCTCCAGTCCCGAGTTCCTCATTTGGGGGTGGGCGGGTGGCTTCACCACCATCCCCTTCATTCCTTTCATAGTGTGAACTTGTGCGTTCTCTGTTTTTGTTTTCAAATAGGGATACTTTATTCCTGTAATTTCTTTAAGGGGAAGAGGAGATGTGGAGGAGCAGCTCAGAGGATTCAACACAGCAGATACGCCGCGCCAGCAAGTCTGAGGTCCAGTGCGCCACACCAGGGCTGTGGTGACACTATTGTGGGCAGGGTTTTTGCTGAGAGATCTTACCTGTTCTTCCTACACACGGGCACAAAAGTTGGTAAATGTGCAACGAGGATGTGTTAATTTGCTTGACTACTGTAACCATTTCACTACGTGCATTTCAAAACCTTACGTTGTGCACCTTAAACATATTACAATAAAATTTATTTTAGCTGGGTGAGGTGGTACATGCCTGTAATCCCAGTGGCTCAGGAGGCTGAGACAGGAGGATAGAGAGTTCAAAGCCAGCCTCAGCAACTTAGTAAGGCCATATAAG